GTGGAAATTCTACAGCCAGTAGCCTTTAAGTTACCCACCCACTTTGACATGGCCTCTTATACTATAAATACTAACAAAAAGCATGCACGCATTTCCTCTCTATTCTGGCTTCTGAATTTCATTTGTGTTGCTCATTTGTGCAGAGGATTGTGATCGGTTAGCCTACCCCTAATTAAATAACCCTTTATTATACCTAATTCTGAGATGTTGTGGTATTTCTTTTTAGCATCTATCTTCAAGTCCATGAAAATTCCACTCTATGGATGGGCTCAATGTTTTGAGAGATAGCTGGAGTTCACTTCACTAATGTAAATATCTAATTGAGGGTGCCATGGTCCTCATCACAGAAAGATCTAATTGCTGAGTTCAAGATCCATCTATACTGACAAAGCCTGCAGAGCCACCTTGCATCCAAACTGGTATAGGAGGTCCTTCTGCATTTGTGTTGCTTTCATTGGTTGAATAAACTACCTTGAACTTTTGATAGAGCAGAGCTGAGGAAGGCAGGGAGGACAGAACAGAATTCTGGGAGGAAGAAAGCAGAGACAGGCAGATGTCATGAAGCTCTCACCTGAGACAGACATAGGTTAATATCTTTCCTGATAAGCCACAACCTCATTGTGCTACACAGATTATTAGAAATGGGTTAGATCAAGATGTGAGAGTTAGCCAATAAGAGGCTAGAGCTAATGGCCAGGCAGTAATTTAATTAATACAATTTCTGTGTGGTTATTTCATGGGTTAAGCTCTTAGGTGGTGGGACGAGGCCTGCTCCTCTTACTACACCAAACAAGGAAAGAGCACACAGCATTACTGGCTATGACTGGCCTGCACTACCCTCCCCCACCTGCACATGTTGAATGGAGACGATGCTTTACCTGGTTCACAGATGTTGGTCATTAAGACCAGAATGATTGACAAACATAAAATGGACATTGCCGAGTCACCTTTCTCTAGGACTTTAAACAGCTCTGCACCATGGGATAGCACAAATCAATAAGACTTTGTGATGAAAACTGGTACTTCCCCAAACAGTCAGTGTCATCTGTGGCTAAAGAAAGTTAAGTGGGCTGGTGCAATGGCTTAGCCAGTAAAAGCATTTATTATCCAGCCAGACAACCTTAGTTTGATTCTCAGAACCTACTTGGTGGAAAGGAAACAAGCTCCTCCAGGTTGACTTCCAATGTAAAGTAAATCATTATATCACAGGGGTGTGTGTGTGTGTGTGTGTGTGTGTGTGTGTGTGTGTTTCCACTTGTCACAGTACACCTATGAAGATCAAGGGCAACCTTGGTGTCAGTTCTTGCCTTCCAACTTATTTGAGGCATTTGTCACTTTGTGTACCATGTCATTTCTCCTGCAAGTTTCCAGGGAGTTTCCACCTGGAGTAAGGAGGCTGGGATAACATGCTTCTGTTACCAGCTTTACATGGGTTCTTAGGGTCCAAAATAAGGTCTTCTTTCTCCTTTATCAAGCACTATCTTCACCAAACCATGCCCCTTGCACCTCCTCTGGCTTCTTAATAATTCAATGGAGACCACTGTATCTGTCATAAAGCAGAGGAATGGAGAGATGATAAGCCTTGGGATGGGAAGAAAGAGAAGGCTGGATTCTGCCCTCCCATGTGGTTAGAGTTCTTGCCAGAGGAAGGGTGCAGTCGCTCTACCAGGATGGTCAGGATATAATGAGATGAGGAGAGCAAGCTAGAGACAGATAAGATAACATGGGGAAGGTGTTTGGAATGGTTTTTGTACTAATAAAAAGAGAGAATGGAGGCAGAACTGGAGAGGGGGTGGTCTGGAAGACAGTCTGTGTAGAGAGGGTGAGCATGTTGTGTGCTGAGGGAATGTTCTAGAAAAGAGGGGGTACCAGAGCTGCAGATGGGACATAACAATGTGAGCCTAGTTGGAGAGGCAACAAGGTAGGCATGGAGGTGGGACAGGACCAGCCTTCAAGGCGACCATGGACAGTCTCCACATTGTCATGGAGAAGCAAGGTTGCTGGTGGGGATGAGAATGAGTAGAGCCATTGGAAGCTGCCCATCTCCAGGCATCCCTGCACTTGTGTGCACAGCCCTGTGGCCTTCCCTGCCCCTTCCAACTTTATTTTGGTTTCTGAGGCTGGCAGAGATGAGTAGTGAGAAGCATGGGTGCAGAGATTTCCACAGTTGCAGCATGAGATTTGTGGCAATCATGCTCAGGTCAAAGGGAGACTTCTGGTTCATCCACTTTATTTCCATTTAAGTGACACATGAGAGATAGAGGATCCAAACTGCACCTCAAAAACAAATGATGATCAAAGATGCTGAAGGCACAGCCAGTCAACCCATAAGGTTAATTCCTTAGGCTTATACAATAGCAGAGTACTCCAGAGAGAAAACAATACCAAAGGATGATTGCCTACTGCCTGGATTTATAGTTACCAAGAATGCCACACCACTCACCCAAGGCTCACTGCCCCTGAAAGTTTTTCAGAGTTCTGTTGAGTTCTGCAGCTTTGCTTCCAAAATATGATTGAAACAGGAAATTCTCTTGTATTTCAAACATAATCAAGACTCTTCAGCAATAATTTTCTAAACATACAAAATTAAAGCAAAATTGAAAAAGAAGAAACTTCCAAATACAATGATCAATGAAAAAAGGTAGCAGAGTTTAGACCATATATATGGATATAGCAAACTTCAGAGGAGATGTAAGTTAGAGTCACCCACATACATTATGTTGATTATACTTTAAACTTTATTAAAGATAAATATCATTATAACAAATCATAAATAGATACATTTGCTCCCAGAACACCGTATCAGCCTGTAGAACCTCATCAAATACAGGCAAATGACAATTCAAACACCATTCAATGACATAGATATTTAATTTTTTATCCTTTAGGAAATTAGATTTGACCACAAAGTGTCCTCAGTTTCAGATGAGTGGTTTCCAGTCACAGAGGTTATTTCTTGTCTGATGTGACCAGATGAAATGAGTCTGCTCCCCCGCCTCGATATTTCCCAAAGCAGAATGTAAGAAAGGTGTCACAGCTCTCTGGACTCACCTCTGTTCTGGACAGAACACTAGCATTGGCGATGACATCCAGGGACTTGGTGGTGTGAGAAGGGTCTGAGACCCCGTGTGGGTAACGCCCTGAGCATCTGTTTTAACTTCAGTTCTGTTACTGTGATAGACACCCTGACTTAAAGCAGCTCTGGGAATAAAGGTTTCGTTGGCTCACACCCCCAGGTGTGGTCTGTTATTGCAGGGAAGTCAAGGCAGGAACTGAAAGCAGTGGGGCACATCCATGGTCCCGAGAGAGACAGGAAAAACACATGGATCCTTGCTTACCCTAAGCTGTCTTCCTCCTCTTGTACTGCTCAGGACACCCTGCCTATGGAACACTGTCACCCACAGTAGACTGAGTCTTCCTACACCAATGGATACTAAAGAGATATTTCTCATTAAAACTCTCTTCCAGCATGATTATAGGTTGTGTCAAGTTAACAGTTGTAACCTCCCAACACAGCATTTGAACTTCGGGCATCAGGAGCTGATCCCCATGACCTCTAAATGGAAGTAGTAGAATGCATGATGCAAAACAATCACCAGGGGCTGGGGAGAGCTTATGTACAGTCATGGGCTTCATCCCCAGTGCCAAAACTCCAAAATAACACCACACACACACACACACACACACACACACGACATTTGGACACAGAATATGTTTTTCTACTTGTATTAAAATTACTATGCCTGGGATTGGAGAAATGGCTCAGAGGTTAAGAGCACTGGCTGCTCTTCCAAAGGTCCTGAGTTAATTCCCAGCAACAACATGGTGAGTCACAACCATCTATAGTGATATCTGGTGCCCTCTCCTGGCCTGCAGGCATACATGCAGGCAGAATGAAGTATACATAAATAAATAAATATTTTTTAAAAATAAAATGATTATGCCTGGAAATTAGAGAATATTGCTTTTAATAAATTAAAACATTTTGCTATTGTTATTATATTTCATTCCAATTCATTCATCTCAGGCTCATACAGCTCGTTCCAAATCTGAGTTTGGGCTGTTCAAATCTTCACATCCAGGAACAATCTAAAGCCATCTCTGAGGATCTGCCTTTTCCTGAGGGTTGGGTTAAAAGGCAGGAGACATGAGATGCAAGCCCCCAATGAATTTTCCCAACACACTCTCAGCCATATGAAAGACCTAAGCAAACCCGGGTTTGCATCATGAAGAGCCAGAGAAACAAAAATAAACAATGAGCCTCAGAAGTCAGTGTTTGCAGGAACCTTTGCAAAAAATTGTTTCTGTTCTTGATAAAGTTAGCCTAAATGGAAGAATTTCACTGAGGATCTGAGGGCCAAGTCACAGAATTCAAACTGAACTATGAAGAAATAGACCAACACTCTAGCCAACACCCAGGACAGAAGCAGCAGTGTGCAGGCAAAGGGAGATACTGGTGGCTCGTTGAGTAGCACCATCACCAGGCTTCTGAGAAAAGTAAACATGTAGGAAGGTATGTTAATGGTGTGCCAATGGAGAAGGCTGAGGGCTGGGCCTCCACAGCATCTCAGACCCTGACTGAGTCACTGAGTCACCTCAGTTGCCTCCACTGACAACCAGTTTGGCCTTAAGAATGAAGTGCAGCTACCTGCAAAGAATGCCTGCATCTTCAATGCCAGAGCAAGTCTGGGCACAGGTGACCAAACCTGCTTATGCTCCCATACACTGTGCATAGACCAAAAGAACCTGTGACCAACCAGATTCTCTACACTGAACTCACTCGGGTCTGCTCTCTGCAGACCCTCACTTTGACCTTGCTCGTGATGTGTGTGAATGCAGTGAGCAAACATGGCTAATGAAGGAATGAATAAAGAAAAGGTCTGACACAGTGACTGATCCCAGGTTGTGATGCCAGCTCTTCCACCCTCTAGACAGCAAAGTCGCCATATTGTTACAAGCCTTGACCTCCCCTCTGTCCAGAGAAGATGTGGCTGGTTTTGGTTTTGACAGTTTATGTAGTTCCAAGTACACTAAGGGTCCAGAACTTGGTGCTGTATGATTTTGAAGAATGTCACAAAGAGTACAATTTCCCCCCCAAGAGTTATGGGAGAGACTCAGAGGAGGGACAGAAATAAGTGTGGAAATGAGGCACTAGAGGTAGCTTCCGGCCTCCTCCAATTGGAGGAGTAATGGCTCTGACTTGAGTAAGTTTTCCTGTGTTCAGATGAGAGCATATTGCAACGCTTACAGTCACACAGTCACATGAAGTCTTGGCTCCAAGCATATAGCAAAATCTAGTAAAGTAAAAAGCAGGGGGAATCAACAATTCCAATGATACAGAGCAAGATTATGTGACTGGTGGCAGTTGTTGAATGGCCATAAGCCCCTATTTTTAAAAAGCTCTGAAAGCCTTCAAACCAAAACACTCAGCAGATCTCTGACCATGTGATAAACCCAGTGTGAAGAGGTGGAGAAGGACCAGAGATGCAGGGAGAGCCCTTCAACTGGGCCCACCTCCATGATCTGCATCCCAGGAGCTTGGACCAGTCCAGGTTCCAGCAAAGTTTCTGGACACCAATACAGGCCATGCCTGTGCCTGGCTTCAATTGCATTTGAACTTAGTGGTGTGAAGTGCTCCAGAGTTATAACTGATCACCATCAATCCATCAAAATATCTGCAGCAGAGACAAGGTGTCCCAGAAAATTCAGAGGAGACATCACCCACACTAGGATTTCAGCAGTGTATTTGGCCTATACAATAAGACTCAGCTATGTTTTCTCAACCTGATTTATATGGTCATATAACCAAGTTTCCTTCTAGCATGGAGGTGAGCTAGTGTCTGCAGGCATGCATGTCTCATGTTGAAAATGCATTGGGTACCAAGTAGCTAAAAGACTTAGTGTTTGGTTAAATTATTCAAGTGAGGGGAGAGGTCTGAGAAATCTGGTTTATCCTAGACTGAGCATTTAAAAAGTAGAAGGATTGGAAATTGAGGGGCAGGAGACTCAGGAAAGAGCCTAAAGGATGCTAGTTACATTCAAGACACTCCCACCATGAGCTTCTTCTACTAATAGCTTCTCCCAAAAAATGGGACACTCAGTTGGGGGCCACCAACTGAATGAATTATGACAGCACTTGATACTCATTCCTTCTCCATCTGCAGACTGGGAATCTTTGGACAAATAAGTGACCGTGGCTGCTGGTTCCTAACCTGCAAAATGGAAATGATCACATCCATGGCTTCATAAGTATGCTGAACCCTGAAATGAGCAGATGAAGGCATATCTCAAACCTTGAGAACATAGTGCAAAAGTCTGAAATTCATGATCGGTCATTGTTCTGGGCGCCAAGTGGTAAGTCTTGATTCTGCTTGTGTGTACATCCACTCTAGTATATGCAGGGCATTGATAACAACACTGTTTGCCTTCCTCCTCCTTCTCTACCCCTGACAGTTCCCAGCAAGGTCATCCAAAATCTTCCCAAATTATCACCAAAGGTTATTGGAAGTTTGCACCACAGGCTCCCCTCAGACAGCAGAGCAATTCTGTTCCTGAGAGTTCTCCAGTGCCTGCCAGTAAGTGAGTAAGTTCTGAGGTGTCATGGAGTGGCAGGTCACAATTTTCCGAAAGAGGCACACAGAGAAGCGTAAGCCATCTGGGAAAAAGGTCTGTTTGGTGTGGAGTTCCTCAGGCCGGATCTTCAGATTGGCCAGGCAGAGCCCGACAAACACATCATCCAGCTTGAGGAATGGGACACTCTCTGAGACACTGTATACTTTGCTGGCCACGTCACTTGAAAAGACATAACCTGTTCCAGAGCAAAAAGGTGGGTACCTATCCCAGGGATATTCAAATTTACTCACAAACCACTTGCTGGACTTTTTCCTGATAGGAAGTTCATGAGGCTTTAAGTAGCCTGTGAAGAACAAGGAGGTTTTGTTTTTCTTTAGCAGCAGGTCAGTCAGATAGCCAACATTCACAAACATGTCTGAGTCTGTCTTCATCACAAAAGCTGCCTGAGGACAAAAGTGGTGGACCCATTCCATGCCCATCATGGTCTTCAGGGTCAAGTTGTAGTAGTCGTCCTTGAAATCCTTCTGGATGATGTCACGGTGCTGCTTGCCCTCCTGGGCTGTGGCATTCATCTCGTCGGTGCTGTCTGAGGCCCCCAGGAGGAAGAGGGTCTTTACACGCCGCCCCCGCACCTCTGCCTCTCGACCCCATGTCTTGCGGATGGCCATGCGAGCCGCCAGCTGCTTGTGGGACGAAGTCACCAGCAGCACAAGGAAAGGGGGCGTCTGCTTGCAGTCTATATCTGGAAGCTGGAGGAACTTCCCCTGACCTTGCTTGAGAACATGTGGTGGTTCTTCGAAAGGCTCCATACTGAAGTAAAAGCAAAGAGCTCCCATCATCAGAATGAAAGCATAAACCAGCCTCATGTTCATGAACTCCATCTGAAAGAATAAAGACAAACTGCCAGGTCTCCCAAGAGAGAGGGTGGAGTAACAGATAACCAAACACAAGGAGATCAGAGAGCTCTGTTCTGATGTTCCAAACCTAGCACCAGGGCCAGAATTTATACTTTATAAGGAACTAACAGAGAAGTATTTGAAAGTTCACATCACAGGGCTAGAGAAACTGCTCAGTGGTTAGGAGCACTTCCTGCAATCAACCACCTGTATCTGTTGTTCCAGTGGATCTGACGCCCTCTTCTGGACTCTGTGGGCACTGCACACACGTGGTGCACAGATAAACATGCAGGCAAAATTCCCATGCACATGAACTAAAAACTTTTATAGCTTACCCAAAGAGTTCCAAACAAAGCAAAAAAAAATAGATATTTATGGAAATGGAATTTAAATCTGTGTAAAAAGTACACATTATATATGTGTACTGCATTATACAAAACCCCATAAAGGAGTTGGCGGCGCCGGCCGTGGTGGCACAAACGAAGGGAAGGAAAGGGCAGGCCTGACGAGCGGGACGATCGGCCGACTAGGTACCCGACCCGCAAGGAGTGAGCTTCGCGTCATACCGTTTAAGCATCTAACTCAACCGCCCAGCTAGTTGACCCGAGCGGGCCCCATCAGCTCAGGTTCGGCCGGCCCCCGGCCCGCCCGCCGCAGCCGTGGTGGCAGCCCCGGGAGGAGCGCTGGCGTCCGTCTCCTTCGATTCTCGGGATTTGAAGATGGCTGCTCAGTCGGCGCCGAAAGTTGTGCTAAAAAGCACCACCAAGATGTCTCTAAATGAGCGCTTTACTAATATGCTGAAGAACAAACAGCCGATGCCAGTGAATATTCGGGCTTCGATGCAGCAGCAGCAGCAGCAGCTAGCCAGTGCCAGAAACAGAAGACTGGCCCAGCAGATGGAGAATAGACCCTCTGTCCAGGCAGCATTAAAACTTAAGCAGAAGAGCTTAAAGCAGCGCCTGGGTAAGAGTAACATCCAGGCACGTTTAGGCCGACCCATAGGTGCCCTGGCCAGGGGAGCAATTGGAGGAAGAGGCCTACCCATAATCCAGAGAGGCTTGCCCCGAGGAGGAGGACTACGTGGGGGACGTGCCACCAGGACTCTGCTTAGGGGCGGGATGTCTCTCCGAGGTCAAAACCTGCTCCGAGGTGGACGAGCCGTAGCTCCCCGAATGGGCTTAAGAAGAGGTGGTGTTCGAGGTCGTGGAGGTCCTGGGAGAGGGGGCCTAGGGCATGGAGCTATGGGTCGTGGCGGAATCGGTGGTAGAGGTCGGGGTATGATAGGTCGAGGAAGAGGGGGCTTTGGAGGCCGGGGCCGTGGCCGTGGCCGAGGGAGAGGTGCCCTCACTCGCCCTGTATTGACCAAGGAGCAGCTGGACAACCAGTTGGATGCATACATGTCGAAAACTAAAGGACACCTGGATGCTGAGTTGGATGCCTACATGGCACAGACAGATCCTGAAACCAATGATTGAAGCCTGCCTGCCTATCCACCTGTTAGACTCTTGTTAAAGTCACCACATCTATATAAAAAAAAAAAACAAAAAAAAAGCCTTGAGAAAACATGAGAAGAAATCTGATTGATGCTGGAGGACCTATCACAATAGGTTGTGGACTTGCCTGCTACCAGTTGGGGCATTTAGTCTGTTCCGTCTACTTTTTGATACTGTGTTACATGAAACCCTATTTTCCTTTGATTTGGTTGAGTTTGTTTTGTTGTTTATCTAGTCACCCAGACTTGTATTTCAACAGGAATGCGTTGGCTTTGTGAGTAGAACCTTTTTCCAGTCTGCTTCACCTGCCGTGTGTGCTGTCATTTTAGTATTTCTTCTGTTCATCTTTATGGTCCCAGAAGAAGCCAGTGTTCTCACTAATGTATGTATAGAGTTCTACATCTTCCTTAAAAGCTTTCTGGTCATAGCTAAAACTTTATAAAGGTGTGTGTCTGCTAGGTTGATGGTGAAGGTGGTAATTTGGAAATGTTGACCCTGCTACTGGGCCAGGAAAGTCTTCCACGAGGTAGCCACTTGGTTTGGTCCTTGACGTTGCATAAGTGGCAGCTGACTTGCTGAGTTGGATATGTACAATTTCCACCCTAAAATAAGATTTTTAAGTTTTTTGGCTTTGTGTCATGTCCAGGGGGCCTGTACACATTTAGTATAAAAGAAGCCATTTTATGTGGCAGAAGATACAAGGGTGGGAGACTGTTTACAAACTAACTGTTGGGAAGGTGTCATATGCTACTCATGCTGAAATGCAGTTACCTATGTCCAGAACCAATCTTGGTCTAATCCACATAACTGCCTTTATTTGACCCTCTTGAAGGTTTAATTTCAACTATGTTTTGTCAGCTGTTCAGTTCAGTGGAATCTTGTATTTCTGGTTCATTATAACAAATTGTTCTCTCAAATTCAAAAAAAAAACCCATAAATACACAATTTAAAAATAAACTTTCAAAAAATATGAGTTGATGTGCCAGGTAGATGAGATAGATGAAGAGATCCATGGTTTAGAAAACTCTGGAGAACTGGAGAGATGGTTCAGAAGTTAAGAGCATTGACTTCTCTTTGAGAGATCCCAATTTCATTTCCCATGAACCACAAGGAAGTTCACAATCATCTATAATGAGATCTGATGCCCTCTTCTTTCATGCAGAGCACTTATGCAAAAATATAAAAAAGAAATAAAAAGAAAGAAAAGTCTGAACTCTTTCAGCACACAGAAATGAAAGTCATTCCTCTACAGTAAAGCACACAGGACAGTCTGCCTTGCTGTCCCCTGGTGCCTCACTGACAGCCTTGGGATTCTAGATGCAGGTCCCAGCACTGGGAACTGCCAGCCCTTCACTGAAGGATTATTCAGACTCCTTGTCTTTCAGCAAATGGGACCAGATCTTCTAACAGATCCTCAGCTCTGACCTCTGGTGACACCATAACAAAGAATGTCACAATGCAGCTAGACAGTCTGTAGGTCTGAGAGCTGTGCATTCTGAGTGCAAGCACAGGTCTGGCTGTGAAGACCTGAAAATGTGAGCCTATTTCCACATTGACAAAGGTCAGAGAGTTGTAACTTAACTGTAGTTCCTTCAAGGTAATTCTGCTTCTTCCTCAAACAAAGATCCCACATAGATGTAGACCAGGAGTTCTGTTCTCTCAAGGTTATTGTCAACAGGTGTGGCTAATAACTAGAACTTGTACTTCAGAAATAAAGTAGATATGTGCCTACCTCAAATAAAAATGTAAGGATACAACTAAGGTTCCAGTTCCTTTATGGAGATAACATTGGATTCCACCCAGGGAGTGGTTTGCCTACAGAGTGTTTTGGTCTAGGGTATGAGCCTGACTTGTTTTGTTCTAGCAACAGAATGTTTAGCTATGGATGTAGCCCACAACCTTCAATTGATTTGTTCATTTCCTATGTATCATGTTAATGCAGTTTTTTGTTTACTCCTACATTTTGGGGTCAGGAGTATTTAAAGCTATTGGAACTTAACTGCGGGCAAATTTCAGTACTCACTGGAATTCTTTCCTGATATTATTGTATATGTTTCTCCATCTTCTTATTTCCATTTGCATCTTCATACTCTTTACTATATTTTTAAATGCCCATGCCACTGCCTTGACAAGAGGTATTTTTGTTGAGGCTTATGCCTGACAAATGGCAACGGACTGCTCTGATTAAGCATGCACAAAAAGTAACTCTCACATTCCTGAGCAGCAGGGGCCCTGACATCTAGCAGAGGGCCATCTGTGGGGTGAGTTTGCTTCGGGCCGTGGCAGGGTCCCGGCGAGGGGGAGCTTGGGCGTTCCCCGACCCCATAGACGCCCAGGTCGCCCTCAGTGCTGGCTACCCCCTCCCGCCTGCCATCCCGGCTCCCATCCAGCAGGGGCCCTGACTTCTAGCAGAGGACCATCGGTGGGGTGAGTTTGCTTCGGGCCTTGACAGGGTCCTGGTGAGGAAGAGCTTTGGCGTTCCCCGACCCCACAGTCGCCCAGGTCGCCCTGCAGTGCTGGCTACCCCCTCCCGCCTGCCATCCCAGCTCCCATCCAGGTACGAATTCCTATATTTCTCCCTTCCCCCTGGGGCCATAAAATTTTCCCCAGCTCAGCTGCCTTGCAAGCTGAGCCTACATTGTAAGCGCATCCAGGAAAGAGGGAGTGCCCGTGCTTCAATAGCCTGCCTGAGGAAAGGTGGGCATTCTGTCAGTGAAGTCCCTGCCCAAGAAGGGAACCTGACCCGGTAATAGAAGTTCCAATAGAGAACATTTGAAGTAAGATATGGGCAGACGCCAAGGCAAAACCTCATCCAACAATCTGAAAAACAACATGAAAACACCAGATCCCAAGGACCCTACAACAGAAGGGCTTGAACACCTTAACCCAGAAGAAGTGGAAAAAAGTGCCATTATGAAAGCAATAGAGTCCCTTAAACAGGATATGAATAACTCCCTTAAAGAATTGGATGAGAAATATAACAAAAAGTTTGAAGAAATAAGTAAATCCGTGAAGGAGACCGTGAGAAACCAAGAAAAAACAATCAAACAAGTAAAGGAAACAGTGCAAGAATTGAAAACTGAAATGGAGGCAATGAAGAAAACACAAACGGAGAAGTGGCTGGATATGGAAAACCTAGGTAAACGAACGGAGACTACAGAATCAAGCATAACCAATAGAATACAAGAGATAGAAGAACGAATCTCAGAATCTGAAGATACCATAGACAAAATAAATGCTCTGGTCAAAGAAAACAGCAAATCCAACAAATTCTCATCACAAAACATTGAGGAAATCTGGGACACAATAAAAAAAAGCCACAAAGTTGGAAAATGTAAAAGAAATGGACATTTTTTTAGATAAGTACCATATACCAAAGTTGAACCAAGACCAGGTGAACAATCTAAATAGACCTGTTAGTCGTGAAGAACTGGAAGCTGTTATCAAAAATCTCCCTACCAAAAAAAGCCCAGGACCAGATGGTTTCAATGCAGAATTCTACCAGAACTTCCAGGAAGAGCTAATACCTATACTCCTTAATGTATTCCACAATATAGAAAAAGAAAAGTCACTGCCAAACTCCTTTTATGAAGCTGCAGTCACCCTAATACCAAAACCACACAAAGACACAACCAAGAAAGAGAATTACAGGCCAATCTCACTCATGAACATCGATGCGAAAATTCTCAATAAAATACTGGCAAACCGAATCCAAGAACACATTAGAAAAATCATCCATTATGATCAAGTAGGCTTCATCCCAGAGATGCAGGGATGGTTCAACATACGCAAATCTATCAATGTAATCCATCATATAAATAAACTGAAAGAAAAAAATCATATGATCATTTCATTGGATGCTGAAAAAGCGTTTGACAAAATTCAACACCC